AAAATTGAATTTGAATATTATATTTTCAATGTTTTTCTTATTGCAGCGAAATGTATTTTATTAAATAACTCTGCGAGTTTTCAACATTTTTCGTTCAAACTTGGTCAGATAGTAGAACTAGTCTAATGCTTTCATTGAAACCAAGGCAAAATTAACACTCAAAGGTGTTCTGTAACCTTAATGATTAGATTGTAGTTGTTAATATCATAATTCCGAGATCTATATCTTGGCTCGAAAGTACAAAGGAAATCGTTGACATCGGTGAAAATCAGTCCTGCTCTGGATTTAAAAAGAAGCATCAAATCGGCAATTTCTCTGCGAAATTCAAGGGGGAGAAGATTGGTTCTGGCAAGTGTCTGTGTATATGACATATCCGGAGGATAGTTCAGTATAAATTTAGTGGCCCGCCGCTGGACGTTTTCAATTAAGGAACGATACTTAGCTGCATACGGTGACCACAAACTACTGGCCTACCCAAGTTTAGGCCGCACAAGAGCACAGTACAACAATTTTCTGACTTTCAGATCAGGGAGTTCTTTACATACCCTTTTAACCAGACCGAGCGTTTTATTAGCCTTGGCCACAATACTTTCAATATGCCTTGACCACGACAAATCATTTGACACAGTGACACCAAGATCCATAATGAAAGGAACACAATCCAACGACTGATTATCGATGATGTCACTGCTTCTCTTATCAATGACTTCTTCCTGGAGATGTTCATTACCTTGCATTTAGATTTATTAAATGCCATTCCCCAGTCCAAACTCCACCTTTGCAAGCGGTCGAGGTCACTCTGAAGATTGTAACTGGAGATTGAATCGAGAATGAGTTTGAACAGCTTGGAATCGTCAGCAAACAAAGCAATTGTTGAGTTGTACTGAATGTAGTTAGGGACATCATTGACGTATAAAACAAACAACAATGGACCGAGTATAGAACCTTGTGGTACACCAGACGTGACAGGAAGCCAGTCAGAGAATGATCCGTCTAGAGCAACTCTTTGGTACCTATCTGTGAGGTAACTACCAAACCAAGAAAGAAGAGATCCGTTGATACCATGATGCTTTAGTTTGAGTAATAACAAGTTCTGAGGGACTTTATCAAAGGCTTTTGATAAGTCAAGATAGATTACATCAACTTCGTTACCGGATGCTACGGAGTCGAGTGGAAACGATTTTTGGGTAAATCATGCGTGCATGGATGTCAATCCTGTGGGTGATGGGGAGTCCTCTTATTTTTGGATATTCGTAACATATTTTATCATATGTCATGTTTGGTCGGCTCCGCATTCCCCCCCCCCC